CCAGCCTGTTTTTGAGTGAAAAATAATAGCTTATATGCATTGTACTCGACACAAAAAACAACAACAACTGGTTGAGCACATGTATGCCTCTCCTCCTGAAATTGTTTTCTTTTTATTTCTGCTGGGATTTTATATCCCTCTCAGCCTAAGTTGGGTCTTACAGGCAGGGGTTGGATATCCGCCTCCTAAAGGATTTAAATTGTGTTGATGGGGGTTTAAAAACACCAGCATTAAAAAAAGATGAAACAGTTGTCAATTTCCTGATAACTCATTAAAGTAGTTCTTTGCTTGTAATTTTTTATTTTTTTAAATGACTCGGTATAGGAACTTAAATGACAACAAAGAAATTTTTGAGAGGATAAAGAAACCTTTGATTTCCAAATGAAAGATTTCCATTGTCAGATTCTTTTTGTAATTATGGAAACTACCGTGATGATGAGTTGTGTAGGCGTAGTGTATTTGAGAGTGTTTGTGCCTCTCCACCCCTCAGATCTGTCCACCATCGGTCTGGACTCGGACAAAGAGAAGCCACCGGAGAAGACGCATCGTCGACGCAGCAGCCAGGGGAGGATAGAGCTGCCCGTGCTACGTCCCATGCCCAAGTCGCTGCTCATTGACATGAAGTGAGTTGTGTCCCCTTTTGTATGTCGTATAGGAGGGATGTGAAGCGAGTTGTGTTCCTTTTGTATGTCGTATGGGAGGGATGTGAAATGAGTTGTGTCCCTTTTGTATGTCGTTTGGGAGTGACGTGATGCGGGTTGTGTCCCTTTTGTATGTCGTTTGGGAGTGACGTGATGCGGGTTGTGTCCCTTTTGTGTTTGTAGTAGAAATGTACAGTAAAGTAACTTATGTCTCTTTTGTATGAAGGGGAGCACTATGTGGGTGGTTGGAGGGTGTTCTGGTGTGATTTGCTCCTTCTTTCCTATCAAAAGCTTTTGTCCTCCTCCTCCTTTTTGTGTTTGTTACTCTCTTGTGACACCTCTAATTTGCGGCACTTATATGACCTTATTGTGTTGCAAGTGCCTTAAAACTCTTACTAAATGAGTGGTTGGCGGGTGCTCTGGTGTGGTTTGCTTCTTCTTTCCTATCAAACGTCTATCATCTTTATCTCCCCTCCTTTTTTTGTGTTTGTTACTCTCTTGTAACACCTCTAATCTTCGGCACTTATAATGACCTTAATGTGTTGCAAGTGCCGTAAAACTCTTATTAAAGCTAAAAAAACTCTTACTAAAACTTACAAAAAAGCAATCGAAAGGGGAGCATAATGATGGTCTTAGGCACAAACCGTCTAATTCCAAATTTATTTTGGATGCTTTTATGTTTAAAAAGCAAGGAAACCTCATTTTTACAACATGTTTATTAAATGTATATCGCAGTCGACAGGCTGATAAAAGTTACCAGACAGTCATGTGATCACATATGCTAAATGGTCTTTATCATATCGATGTACTTCTTTTTATTCAAAGCAACAGGATTGTTCGCAGGCACTCTTGTGTGGTTTACTCTTTCTTTCCTCTCAAACATATATTGTTCCCATCTCTCCTCTTTCTTTTTCTTTGTATGTTACTCTCAATTTATACCTATGATTCTTGAAACTTTTATGACCTATTGGGCAGTGCCACTGACTGTAGCGTCTTTAGGCCATTCCCAAAGGGGGGACATTTCTCGTTCAAGTGCAGTACAAAATGGGCTGATTCATGTCACGCTGATAACTGTGCCTGATCTACAACAGGGAACTGCTGCTTTTTCTTTCCTAATCCTTACTATTGTCATTTTCCTCTACTTCTTTTGTATGTTTGTCACTCTCTTGTGACCTGCTATTTCCGGGGTGCCTTGATAGTCGAAGCAGACCTTGTGCTGTTGAAGCCAGAGAGGTGAGCAGACTAAGTCTGATTCCCTGTAAAGACTTCTCTGTTGACACCCACCCCTTGTCGCTTATATGACCTTATGCAGTTACGAGCGCCGGAAAACCCTCTACTATAAAAAAAAACAAAAAAACTTTCTTTTTCTTTGTATGTTACTCTCGATTTAAACCTATGATTCTTGAAACTTTTATGATCTATTTGTGTTGCAAGTGCGGTAAAGCTCTTAACTAAAACTTAAACTAAACCAACGTCTGAAATGAATGATTATCCCTGGTTTTTAGGAAAATCCAGCAGATGTCAGACATCCACACGGATGTGGGTCAGACCCGGGCCCTGGTGCGGCTGGCCTTAGAGAGGAAGATGTTGTCCACTCACCTAAAGCAGCTGCTGGCAGACACGGACCTGCTCAGGTATACAAACAGCTGTTAGAGATGGGGGGGGGGGGGGGGGGGGGGGTTGTTTTTGACTCTTGGAAGTACTGCTAGACCCTTAAGCACCCATCATCATCATTGCCTTTCTCAATCTGGATCAGGGTATAGGCCACGAACAAACACTTTCCACCTTTCCCTATCCTGGGCTAGTCGCTTGATGTCACTCCATGTCTTCCCAGTTTTCTGTACATCCATTTCTGTGACTAATCTCCAGGTTCCATGTGGTTTTCCCCTTGATTTGATTAAAGCATCCGTGCTTGTAGACAATGATTTGTTTGGTTATGTAAACGGCTCTGCTCCGGTTTTTAAATGTCTTTTAGAGCTTTTTTTTGTTTTTGACTATTTGACTCTCCTTCTCCTTTTCTGTGCGTGTGTGGTTGGCGGGTGCTCTGGTGTGGTTTGCTCCTTCTTTCCTATCAAACATCTATCGTCCATATCTCCCTTTCTTCTTGTTTATGTTTGTTACTCTCTTGTTACACCTCTAATCTTCTGGCGCTCATATGACCTTATGCAGTTGCGAGCGCCGTAAAACCTCTACTAAAACTAAACAAATAGATGCAGATACATTACTTCGTCTCTATAGATCTGAAAAAAAAAAAAATCACGTAAACTAACTTTTCTGTGCCTTTCTTGCTTCTTTCTGTCTCTCCCCCCCCCCCCCTTCTTTCTGTCTCTCTTTCTCTCTCTCTCTCTCTCTCTCTCTGTCTCTCTCTCTCCACCCCTCCTTTCCTGTCCCCTCCCCCCCATCAGGAGCCTGTACAAACGCTATGCCTTCCTGCGCTGTGAGGACGAACGAGAGCAGTTCCTCTACCATCTGCTCTCACTCAATGCTGTTGACTTCTTCTGCTTCACCAACATGTTCCCCAACACTGGTGAGTTATGAATGGTTCGGTCTTCACCATGTCATCATCATCATCATCATCATCATCATCATCGTCATTGTTATCAGTTCAATCATTGTCTGTTCAATAATTAGAGAAAAAGTAGTGGCTAGAGAGATTTAAATTAAAAAACATGAATGACAAATTTTTTGTGAAAAGGCTCATGAGCTATATCAGGAGCCCAATTTTCTTCTGTGTCATTGTCATCATTATCATTATCAATTGGCTGTGTACTATGACTTGTTGCATTGCGTTTTATGTTATTTGTGTATTGTTTGTTAGTATTATCAACAAGGTGCATACTACAATGTAACATTTTGTCCTTTTTTAAGTTGTGTGCTCAGTTCATCGTCATCATCATCATCATCATCATCATCGTCATCTTCATCAAGTCTTTCCAATGATCAAGAAGGAAATCAGAGACCCACCATGTAGAGCTAAGTACCAGCACCTGGAAGATGTGTATTCTGGGTACTCCTATAAGCGGGAACAAAATATCACATGTCGCTGGGACCAGATTGAGCTAGGGAGACTGCGGTCGGACCATCATTGGAGCTTAAGATGGTATAAGAACTTTGTAAATGAAGAGCTCAGCCCATGTTGCCGAAGATGCAGCCATGAAAAGGAGGATGTCAAACATATGTTTGAATGTCCAGGAACAATGGCAATTCGAATGGAGTTATTTGGACAAGTGGAGGTGCCACTAAGCATATTGACAATGGAGCAGAAATAGAGCCTCGTTCTCGCTCGAAGATTTCTTCGAGGAGTCCGCCAGGCCCATTAAGGAAACGAAAAAAAATCGTCATCATCATCATCATGTCAGCAAGTTGTGCACTGCTGCTAAACATAACATAATGCATTTTTAGAGATATTTTGTGTGTGTGTGCTTCCAGTGGTTCCGTACCGCGTGCTGATCTACCCGAGCACCAAGCTGGGCTGCTCCACCACCAGCGCCCGCGTCTGGGTCTCTGTGGCCGGACAGCTCTCCGAGACGGGGCTCATGGAGGTGCCCAAGAGTCTGCTGGAGCTCAAGTTTGACGTAAGGATTGTTGCCTCCGCCTTCTTCTCATTGGTTTAGAAGTTACTTGTTGCTCTTAGAGTATGTATCTATATATATGACCCCAAAGGTCTTGTATTTAAATTCCTGCATGTGGGTGAATGATGCATTTGATGTAAATGTACATTTTGTCAGCTTTAGTTCTCTTTTCTTATTGAATTTTAATGAGAGTAATATATAATTTAAATTGTTTTTGTATACCTGCGTGTGTTTTTACGGTCCTGTACAGCCAAGGAAAATTTCCCTCTGGGATAATAAAGCACTATCTTATCTTATGTTATCCAGACAAGCTAAGAATTGGTAAGTTTTTGTCACGTCTGTGCAAGTTGAGTATTACATGTCTTTGCTTTGTGTGTTCAGCACAAGAACCTGGGTGTGTTGACCACTCTGCGCATCGGCCACGACAACACGGGCATGATGCCGCGCTGGCTGGTGGAGTACGTGCTGGTCAGGAACGAGCTCACTGGACACACCTACAGGTAGGCTGACACACAAAAAGGGCTGCAATGGATTTTTAATTTTTTTGTTTGTTTTGTTTTGTGTTTGATATGATTTGAGTTTGGCACGTCTTTTTCAGCTTTCTTATGTTATGTAAGATATGGGTTCTGAGAATCCAATGTTTGTCTCTGATATGACCAAAGCTCTTTAGTAATGTTTAGTTGCACCTCTAATCTTTGGCACTTTTAAGACCTGTGTGTCTTGCAAGTGCCATTAAACTCTTAATTAAAACTTTCAATATAATGTACACTTTTCCCCACACTAAATGATGGTTATTGTGTTGATATGTTTGTCCTTACTTGAACTTTACTAATGTCATATCTACAAACAGGTTCCTGGTTGATTGGTGGGTGCTCTGATGTGGTTTGCTCCTTCTTTCTTATGAAACATTATCGTCCTTATCTCTCCTCCTTCCTTTTTTTTGTGTATGTTATTTTCTTGTTACACTTTTATTCTTCGTGGGTGGTTGGCGGATGCTTTGGTGTGGTCTGCTTCTTCATTCCTATCAAACATCTATCGTCCTTATCTCCCATTCTTCTTTTTTATGTTTGTTACTCTCTTGTAACACCTCTAATCTTCTGGCGCTCATATGACATTATGCAGTTGCGAGCGCCGTAAAACCTCTACTAAAACATAAAACATCTATTCTTCGGCACTTATATGACTTTATTGTGTTGGAAGTGCCGTAATACTCTTACTAAAACTAAACAGGTTCAACTGTGGCCGGTGGCTGGGGCGTGGCGTGGACGACGGGAGCACGGAGAGACTCCTGGTGGCAGAGCTCATGCACCACACCATTGACACGGAAGGTGAGGCACGCAACTACTGGGGTTTTTCTTAAAATTTCAGTTGTCTTGAAGTTTTAGTTATTTAACTCATTAAATGCTGAGCGCTCCAGCAGTGAACTCCCCTCTTATACTGGGCAGTTTTGTTATGGCAACAAGAAATTAGGTCTACCCAGGAAAATCAATCAAAGCTAGCAGGCTCAATGGCTGTTGGAGCAGAAAAAATGTCTCCTTGACCTTTCCCATATGCATCATGATTAGTTCCAATAATTTGGTATGGATTAGACAGAGTCATTCTTTCTATAAAGATAGCGAGGCAGAATGTGAGAATACTCGTCACCAGTATGTGGGCGGGGCCCAGGTTTCGCGAGTATTCTCGTCAGTAGCACTGAATGAGTTAAGTTGACAGTACCCTTCAGATTGGTTCATAAGTGTGGATGAATTAGGGAAAAGGTTATTCTTTAATTTTTCTGTCCCTATGAGGAACTGAGCCTGTGGAAGCTTTGCTGAAAAAGAAAAAAGAAGTCCCTTAAACGTTCCGTAGGTCAGCCAGGTTATGATTATTGTGTTGGATATAGCTGTTTAGCTCACTTTTTAAAATATGTTAAGGGTTGGAGACCGTTATGAAGCTCAAATATTTTCAAAGCAGTTGTTCTCATGTGGGATTCTTTTTCTTTACATCTCCAGACGAAGTTGTTGTCACGTCTCCTCCTAGAACGTGTTCTCCGAAGTCGCCACGGAAACATCAGGATGCTAGTGAGTTCTGGGTTTATTTGGGCCAGCTTTAAGTTGGATTATCTCACAAAAAACTTACTGATCTTTTTCACTACTCTCAATCTCATTTCCAATCTCTCTTGTATTCAATGGCTTAATGGTTCTTTTCCACTACATTTTTGTAAATTTTGTTTAATTTAATAGTTTTGCTTCCTCTTACTCTTTGAAAAAAAAATTTTTGATTAAAAAAAAAATAAATTATAGGACTATTTGAATGTTGTTCTTATGTTGAATATTGGTTTTTCTTCCAGACGCTGGTTTGGCGGAGATCCAGGAGAATCTAGGTCAGGCTGTGAATAATCTGGTCAAACACTTCTATAAACAGGAGAAGGAGGTAAAATCTGGGATAAAGCAAAGAGGGGGGATTTAATTGCTCGGTTATAAGTGAGACTTTCATATAACAGAAATAATTTAGTCTGAGCAGGTCATGGGTTTATGTCCTGTGCGGTGTCTTTTGGTCTTTGTTTCATGTTTCAGTTCTTTTCAGTCCACTTCTCTCTTTCTTATTCGTCCCATTGGTTTTTTTTGGGTTGTTTTCATTTGTTTTTTTCTTTATTGTGGAAGAAAACTGCAAGTCATGTGCAATTGTTACTTTTTATTCCATTTTTTAAAAATTGTGTCCTTTTGTCTTTCATGTATTCTGCTCCACTTTGACTATTAAATGTTTTGCACAATGATTTGGGTGCATTTGTATTTGACCAGCAGGTGGCCAAAGGGCACCATTGGTAGGTCCTACTTCTTTTCTTTTGCCGTCTTGTTTCAGTCTGTTTGTCTTACTTTTCACTACACTAAGCAACTGATATTGTGCTTTTGTACTTCCTGAGTGGCTGGTAGGTGCTTAGGTGTGTTTGCTCCTTATTTCTCATCAAACATCTATCATGTTTATCTGTCCTCCTACTTTTTCGTGTTTGTTACTCTCTTGTAACACCTCGAATCTTCAGTACGTATATGACCCAATTGTGTTGCAAGCGCCGTTAAACGCTTACTGAAACAAAAAAGCTTACGTACTTCTTGTTTTCACTCAAATATGACCAGTAGGTGGTTGGCGGGTGTTCTGGTGTGTATCAAATATCTACCGTCCTTATCTCTCCTTTTGTTTGTACGTTATTCTCTAGCAAAACTTCTAGTCTTTTGCACTTTTGTAAGACTTTTTTGTTTTGCAAGGGCTGTAGATGCACAACTCTTACTGAATCTAAACTAACACACGGCTAGAAGTTGGTTCACATTTTCCATTCTGTGATGTTCACTTCACTCTGATGTGTGTGGTTGTTGTTCTGGTCCCCAGCGTGGCAACATCACGTACCTTCTGTGTGGGGACAAGGGCCTGGTGCACTGCATGGAGCAAGTCTTTCAGTTCGGCTTCCGGTCCTCGAGGCTCTTCCGCAACAAGATCTTCATTTGGGATTACATGGGTGAGGAAGTGTAGCTTCTGCTGCTATGTGCTATGCAGCACTTGTAACTACTGTTGAAACACACTCTAATGACCACTATCAAGGACAATCACCTTACAAATGACCACCTCTCACCTTTTTTGTATCTTATAATGGAGAGGTGGTCTTTTTTCGATTGATTTTGAAAATGTTTTCGAGTCTAAAAAAGTCGTAAAAGGTTTTCCGGGTATGTTGCTTTAAAAAAAAACAACCCTTTCTGCTTCTAATAGTGTTTCAAAGTATTCAGTTGCATTTGGTACCTCATCGTGTTCTGAATTTTGCGCAGTACATTAATAGTGTAGTTGGGAAAAAAATTTGGTGGTCATTTTCACAATGTTAAAACTTTTGCCCCTTGTTCTTCATCGCATTTGGTCTGCTCCTCCTCAGAGCGTCTCAAAGTGTTCTTTGAGAATGCCCTTTCAGTCTCCTCCTCGCGTCAGCTGTCGGATGTGCACAAAGCTGGTTACTGGCTGTTCTGTGACCTGGTGGGCAAGATAAACACGGCGTCGGACACAGTGGGCAAGGACGGGAAGTTCCAGGTCTTCATCTGTGTGGGCATCAGGTACAGTTAGTTCATGGTCTTTTGTGTTCCTTCCTTAGAGCTTACAGGTACCCCAGAAATTTGTTTTCTCTTGTTTTATTTGTTTTTTTGAAAGATTGTGATCAGTTTATCATCAAACCTGACTTTTTTTTCTGGCTAACTGAACTTGTTGAAAAGTGTTTGTCAAAGGACAACTCTTTTTTCATGTCTCTTTCGCATTTTTTTTCTTCTGTTGTCTTGCTTTGTCTCCTTGTCAGCAAGATGGGGGACTTTTGATAATCTGCAGTCTGTTTGAAAAGGCACAAACTTTTTGGTATGTCACAATGAAAGTTAGGTTCTTTTTATATTTTACTATTCCTCTGTCATTTTCGTAGGTTTTTCAAGCTTTTTTTGTAAGGGCATCAGGTACAGTGTAATTAGTTTATGGTCTTCTGTGTTCCTTCTTCAGATCTGTCAAGTACCATGTATAAATTTGTTTTGTCTTATTTTGTTGCATTATTTGAAAGACTGACCAGGGGGTGGAGGAGGGGGCTTTGATAGTCTGCTGTCACTTGAAAAAGCGCAACCTTGCTCTGGGTGGTCAGTGAGCGCTCTGGTGTGGTTTGCTCCTTCTTTCCTATAAAACATCTATCGTCCTTATCTCTCCTCCTCCTTTTTTGAGTATGTTACTTTCTTGTGACACATCTATTCTTCGCCACTTATATGACCTTATTGTGTGGCTAGTGCCGCAAAATTCTTACTAAAACTAAAACAACCTTGCTGCTATGTCACTTTAACTGATTCCGTTCATTCGGCCGCTGACAGCGGCTCTGAGTTTTTCCCGCTGCCTCCATTCGGCCGCTGTGAGCGGCTCAACTAAATCCGAAACAAAGGTGCACTTTTTAACATAGTTTCTACTTTTTAAGTTGTCGAAAGAAAGTAGAACTTGTAAGCAAACCTGACCTCAATCTCTGAGCGCCAATATGGATCGAAACTCCACGAAATTCTAGCAAAAATTGTTGTTTTGTTGTTGCGATGTAGGCTAGATCTAAGGGTAAACAACACGGAGCCTGGTATAATAAAAAGGCTCTTCAAAGAAAGATATTCAACTAAATTTGTGAAATTCTTGCATAAATGTGTGCTAGGGTGATATCGCTACAATGTTGTGTTGATTCCTATGGATTATAAGGACTCGTAGAGCTGAGAAAATGCAGTAAGTTGAAATTTTCGAAGAGCTGTTGCGCAATTTTTTTTTTTCATTCATTTTTGTCACAAGGAAAATGCAATACAAACAGATTATAGGTCATTGTTATTGATATAAACAGATTCTTCTATTTATTCCCAACACTTTGGTATATATGACAGTACACATTAGAGTAACTTAGAGCTTCACAGTAATGCAATAAATAGATGCACCCCAGGTCTAAAACTGAACAGGGAAAAATAATTCTGTCCAGAGCCTGAAAAAATCATGGAAGGAATCGGTTAAGGTTAGGTCCTATTTTTTGTATTACTATTCCTCTTTTATTTTTGTCTGTTTATCTTGCTTTGCCCCTGCATGAAATGACCATTGATGTTGTGTCTGTGTGCTTCTGTTTACTCAAGCCCTGACTCTGTCCTGCAGAAAACGTTGCCTGCACCGGTGGCTCCCCCTGATGTCCAACACGACGGTGACGGCACAGATGTACGAGGAGAACTCTTTCCTGCGCACGCCCTCGCACATCAACTTTGTCATGCACATCCTGGACTCGCTCACAGAGTTTGACATTCCACTGGAGGCCTCCCTGCTGCGTGGCATTGACATGGAACTGTAGTGGCTGTTGTTGCTGCCTGCGTGGAGTGGATGTGTACCTGCGTAGCTGCCCTAAGTGGATGTGATGACCCACAGTGGCTAAGCAGGGTTGGTGTGGACCTGTGTGGCTGCTTGAAGTGGATGTGATGACGCATGGCTCCACAGGGTTGGTGTAGACCTGAGTGGCTGCCCCAAATGGATGTGTACCTGTGTGGCTGCTTTAAGTCAATATGATGACACATGGCTCTGCAGGGTTGGTGTGTAACTGTGTGGCTGCTCAAAGTGGATATTATGATGACTCACAGTAGCTAAGCAGGGTTGTTGTGGACCTGTGTAGCTGCTCTAATTAGATGACATGTGGCTCCACAAGGTTGATGTGAAGCTTTGTGCCTGGTCTTTGAAGATACAATTACAGGAGGCTGTGCATGGTTGATGTGCAGCTGCGTGCCTGCCGTGTCTTGGATGACATGTTCGCACAAGCTTGGACAGAGTTGATGTAGAGCCGCCGCTTGGCCAGAGTGGGTCAGTGTAGTTCTGCTTTGTGGCTGCGCAGGCTTTGTATAGACTGGGCTGAGGTGGTTTAGTGCTGCGTGGCGACGCTTGGTCGATATAATGCTGCGTTACTGAGCTTGGTGGATGTTTCGCTGGATAGACATGGCAATCTGTACTGAGTGCGTGGCTGCATTCGGTTAATATGGCTCTTCTTTGTGGCAATGTGGGGTCCGTCTGACTTTGTGCGGCTGTTTTAGGTCGATGTGGCATGTGACGAAGCAGGGTTGATATGCCTGAATTTTTGCAGCATGATATTGGCAAAGATTTACACCTATCCCTTTCAGAAATACCGATTTGAAACATCTAACCATGCTGCATTGACATTGATTTCTGATGGTCAGTGGCTCTTTAGATTTAGGCAGAACTATGGTCGTGTGTGATAAAACAGCAATCAATGGAGATTTTGTGGCAGTGTGGGGCACATTATACATTAACCATCAACGACTGTCGGCAACCCGTGGTTCCTTTGTGCTCAGAAACCCTGTGGAAATGACCTTGGAAAGTTCATAGATTGAGTGAAGAAACTCCAATTGTTTTACATGGTCATCGGTGGACATTTTAAAAACTGATTAAATTTCAGATTGGGATAACTGAACATTTCAACCCTCTATACTATCCTGCTGCTTGGCACATGTCAAAGAAGTGATGTGGCCATGCTTTTTAAATCATGCTGTTGACAGAGAGGAAAAAATTCCACCATTCGATAACTCTGGCATCTTGCTCTGGTATGCTTAGAAAGATATCGAGCCAAAATTCAGATGGAATGCTAAAGAAACCAATGTGGCTGTCGTTGAACATTCTTCCCTCAGCATCCTCTTAGAAAATTATCAGTGAAAATCTTTTAACTCACACAGTTTTACAGCGAGTTACAATTTGGAATTTTTTCCCCATAGCTGAAGTTTTATTCAGATGGATCACAGTGAGGTTGTTTTTCAGGTTAGTTCTCTAAAAATGATCATGGAATTTTGTTCCCCCCCCCATTGTTGAGTGATTTATTACCAAAATCTCAAGATCAATCTCTCAACCATAAGGAAATTTGTTTTAATGTGCAAGGGGGTCTTTCATTTATACAGCCAAGGTGTGGTTACATCTTTTCATTGTTGCATGTCGGGGGAGCCCTTAGGTCCTTGTAATAATGTGTCACTCGGCTCATGCTCTTGATAAACTGACTCCCTGCAGTTCTTTTATGTGCTCTGAATCTAAGTCAAGTTTTTTTTAAAGGGTAAATAAGGCCCCTGGCTGTTGATGAGATCCCGGGATTGCAAAAGAAAGCCACTTTTTCAATCGTGTAATTTGTTTGTCTTTGTTGGAACATCTAAAGGAAGTGATGGCCTTTTGTAGATATGGCTGAAGAGCGTGGATTGGAGGAGTTTCTTTCTTCGCTGTAATTATCCGAAAGAATTCTTGACTAACGATGATGCGTTTACCTTGTTTTCTGTGAAAGATTATGATGATAACTACTATGCAGTCTGGGCATTTTTTCTTTTTTTTTTTCACGGGTTATCCTGAATATTTTTAAACTTTCTTACCGACCGGCTCTTTGTTTCTCATGTATATTTCTGTACAGAATTGTGTGACGATCCGGTTTTCATGCCATTGTGTCATCATTCTAGCACTCCAGCCTGTCATTCCATGCTGTGGCTTCTTTTTACCTGCTGTGTATAACATAGCGACTTTTTTGCTGTTAAACTCTTATGAATTTCTGATGAATACTTGTTCTGCTAGTTGCCAAAATGGATTCCTTGTCATGAGTGGATTGGTTAAATACTAACAATGTTTTTAGGAAAAATTTTACTCATGTATTTGTAAGGCTGTGCTACTTTTTTTGTGGTTTATACTTTAACGAAGTCATATTTTTTCTTTTATGTGTGTGTGTGTGTGTGTGTGTGTGTTTATCATCAATCAGATATGAGTTCCTTCTTGTTTGTATTTTTACTTCACCAGTTGTGTGTTTGTAGCATATGAGCTATATTTTATTTGTTTATATTGTTTTCTTTTTCATTGTCTCTCCTTTAAGGGCTTGGGCACTAAACCATATGTACCTTTTTGGTGCGATGAAGGAAAGCTTATGTCTTTCTGGAGGGATGAACCACTAACACTGCACATTCATGGGTTTGCACCCTGACAAAAAGTATCTAGAGGAAATGATTCTGCTTGCGGTTTCTCTGATTTTGACCATCTTTCTTCGGACCAGCATCATTGGTGCGATGATTAGGCTCTTCGCTGTTGCCCTTGAAAGAAATTTGTTCTCTTCTCAGTTGGAGAAGTCTATTTTTGTGGAGTGTCTCCATCTTTCTGCCAGGATACTGTATTCCTTTCAGCCTGGGCTGACCCTCACAGACAGAACCGAGGCAGCCGGCCCCCTGAATGGTCCAAATGTTGTCGATAGAGGCCTAATACATTTTACAATCTTACAATCAGCCATCCTTCTGAGAATGTTATGTTTTTGTTTTAGCTTGTGTCAAGATTTCAGAGTTAATGCAGGATGTGGCCAGATATTCTGTTGCGTCAGGCATTAGATATATTTAGACGTAAGAATTTGCGAGATTGTGTGTATATATAAGTTGCTGGACATTGTAAATAAAAAGTTACCAGATTGTTTAGGGTGTTAGAAAGTGGAAGTCTGTGAAACAAGCTAACAGATTTAACCTGTAAGAAGCTCTCAGATTTTTCATATATAAGAAGTCGGTTAATCTTGTGTGTTTGACAGCTGATGTATTTCGCGAAAGAAACCATCTGATAGGCAGACGTGTGTGTGTGTGTTTGGATGCCTTAGCTCATCACCACCGTCCACTAGCCTCTTTGTTTATTTATCGCGACCTCAGTGCTTTCTTGTTGTATCTCCTATTTTTTAAACAGTGAAAACAGTTCGTAACAATGAGTGCAGTGAGCTTAAGAAGAAGTCACATTTTCAATGTAAAAAAAAATGGCGATACGACAAGAAAGCACTGAGGTCGCGTTATGTTTTATATCGGTCATCCCAGGCCGCAGTGTCCTGCCCGCTCAAATTCAAGACGCTGGTCCTTTCCTTGTACAAAAGCATTCGGAAAGGAGAAACTTCTTCATTGGCATCTGTGGTGTAAAGATTTGAGCACTTTGCCGTCACATGCACGAGACCCCAAATTCAATTCCCGAAGAGAGAATTTTCACGGAGTATCTCGGTCGTTCTGCTGGTATGTTTTGTATCTTTCTCTGCCTGGGTTGGCCCTGACTGGCAAGGTTGAAGCCCGCCTTCTAAATGATCTAAATTGTGTTTATGGGGGCATAAAACATCTGCGTGAAAAAAAAAAAGGAGAAACTTGAAAAACTTTATCAGATTGAACTGGCCATCGCCATCCTTGCATTCTAAATGTGTTACAAAGCTCACGTTTACCCCCTCCACTTTTCCCAGGATGCCATCATATTGCCAAGTTGTCCCATCCGGCTTTGTTTATGCTGGAGCACAGTTTGTCGTGTTTTGAAAATATACGACCGAGGAACCTCTCTGTAATTGTTTCCGGATGTTCACATAACGGCTGTATCTTGTGTCTGAGGGGTGATATATGGCTCTCATATCATTGCCTGTTATATGCTGGGTCTTGCCTCTAAGATGCTGCTTTTTGACTCTGTGTTTGTGTGTGTGTGTGGGTGTTTGTGTGAGTGCAGATGTGTGTGTGTGGTGTGTGTGTGTGCACACGCATGCATATGTGTATGCTTTTTTAACTGTGGCATTTGGCAGAAAGACACTAGTCCATCATTTGCTGTTTGATTCACATCTCTACTGCTAGTGTGCACTTTTTTATGTACTGTAAACATAACATTTATAACTTGGTGAAAAAGTCTTGGAGAAAGGGAAAACGTAATAAAACGATGAATGTACGTTTCCATTCTCTGCTTGGAGGTATTGAATGAAGAGCGCAAATTTCTGTGTGCCTTAATTTCATTCAGCCATGAACCTAAGTTGGTCTGACCGAGGTCAGTTGCCCACATCTATCTGTCTCCCAGTTTTCATTTTCTGATTTCACCTACGAATATTTGATCATGATATTTGAATGTTGCTTCGCTCCACGTTTGCTGAATTTTTATTTTTGCGTTCTTCTTTCTTCATGATATATTTTTTTTTAGGGTGCTGTTAGTTTTGTTTTTCTTTGCTCGTTTTAGAGTCACCGAATATTTAGATATTTAGAAGGTGAGATTTTTCTCAGGCTTGGGATCTTTGTTGTTTGATATCATTCCTGAAATATTTCCCTTTTTTCCTGACACGCTTTTGTGTTATTTTATTGTCCAACACCAGAGCATGTTTCATTTGTCGTCTCCTGTGTCGAAATATGTAGTTCTTGCTGCTGGCATCATACTGCCCCTGATGGGGTGCCTCCCTCCCCGCCCTAAATTCTCTTTTCCAGATTGTTAAATTAAATAATTCAAAGCACTTATTGCCACAGACCCCGAGAAGAAAGTAGAGCCCCCTGGTGGCTGTGGGGTCAGCTGATGACATGAAATATCTGTTTCCATGTGCACTCGGCTGCTTCTGGTTTCCTCTTCTTGTTCCTTTTGCAACGGGATTTCAGAAAAATACCCCCATTTTTGTCCTCTATGACTTTTAAGTCTAGCTGACTTCTTGAAAGCTTTTTGCCTTAGGTCTTTGACTTTGATTTGTAAGGACCAGATCTGGATACTATACACAAGTGTCTGGGTCAAGTGGTTAGTTAGGCTTTATCACTGTTACACGTAGAGGACATAAGTTCAATTACTGAAAAGGACAGTTTTTTAAAATGGAGTATCCCTTTCTGCCTGCTGGGATGTTGTATTCCACTGAGCTCAGGTTGGTCCTTACCAGGTAGGGTCGAAGCAGCCAGCTTCCTAAATGTTCTTAATCGTATCGATATGGGTAACATAATTTGCCACTACAACCACTGCTAGAATTTTTTTCCCGGACTGTACAGCTGATTGCTACTGACTATCTTATTGTTTTATTTGGTGGAGGGAAACAGCTGCCATTTCCTCCTCCTCTGAGTACAATTACAGCTTTGGAGACATTTGTTTTGTCATTTCTAGTCATTATGATTTTAAAATCTCTTGAATTGTATCTTGTACTTTTTGGGTTTTGCTTTTGGTTTGACAGACATTTCCAAACTTTTGCTGTTTGTTTGCCTACTTTGACTTTTTAAGTTTTCATTTACATTGTGTTACAGTTGTTTTTCTCTTTATTTGTGATGTGGATTGTGTTTTTAGAATACAAAATACTTATATTATGTGTGTAATTTTTACTGATTGATTTATCAGCCAAACCATTGACAGATGCTATCACATGATGTTACTTATTTATTGTAGTTGCCAAGAGTAGAGATGTCATCTTTGGATCAACCGTAGGAATCTGTTGAAAAGATAATTTCATGTTGCGTGCGTCTAACATAATACTACTACTATTCAGAAGAGTGAAACTGAATTCAACCATTTTATTTAGCTGAAAAAAGATTATATATATATATATAATAATAAATGCTTCTAATGTTTTGTTTTGCTTGCACCATGATGTACAGTGTTTTAATTTGTTTTGGTTTGGTTTTTCTCTGTTTCAAAGAGGAAACTGTGTGTGGTGGAATTGGAGAGACTAATAATGCATCTTTTTCTGTGATCAGTGATGGAAACAGTACTTAATACATGCAGTTTTTTCCCAGAGAGGGAAGAGGACACAGTTGGTGTAAGTGTGAACACAGCCTGAAGAAATGGTGTGAATGTCAGTTTGACTATAAAGTTTTGTGTGTGCTCTTGTGTGTGTGTGTGTGTGTGTGTGTGTGTGTGTGCTCTTGCGTGTGTGTGTGCTATGTTGGAAATAGAAAATATCAGGTTGCTGCTGAAAAACCTGCACTAGGCCTTCTGGATATTAGCTGGTGTGTAAGACTTGTAAGACTGAATTGCATTTTGAAAATGTTTTTTCTTTCTATTTTTTGGCAACGTGAAGATAGCTGTGATCCATGAAGAATGTTGTTTGTATGTCGGGAATGTTACTTTAATTTAGAAAGTTTAGTTCCTTTTTAATAATTGTGAAAGCCTATGTTTGCAAGGCAGTGGTTTTAAAAATATTTGCTTGGTGTCATTTAGGTTTTAAAAAATTTAATTTAATGAAGTTATCCTGAATTTTATTCTTGTAGAAATGGTTACGATTTGTAGCAATTAGAATTTCTGGTTTATATTTCTTAGTCAAAGTTGTTTCAATGAAGCTTTCCTGAACTTTGTTGTAGAAATGATTACGATTTATAGCAATTGAATTAGAATTCCTGTTATATATTTCTGTAGTCAAATTCCAGTTTTCAATAACTGATAGAAGAGAGATTTGAAGATAGTCCTGCTCAGTAATGTGTTATAAAATTCCATGGCTTTTTAAAGAAATTTGTTGACATTTTAATTTCTTCGTTTCACCTTCATAAAGTCACGAATTATAATTGGTCGCTTTTAAGGACAAGCGGGCTAACCCAGATTTCAGGGGTTTCCAGAAATCTTGACCTACACCAAAAGTGGGCATTGCCCTACCTATAGGAGAAGTTGGTTTCCTTGGTGTGTATATTTGTTTGCTTATAGAGAAAATTCTTCAGGTCTTTTAAAGAAACTGAATAAGGGGCAAAAACTTTACGTTCGATATTCTCAAAACAGCATTATTCGGGATAGCCCCCTTGTGCTTAAAAGCCGCCAATTTTCAAAAGATATTTCCATGACTTTATTTTTCAATGACTTTCTATATCAGATCATGACATGAATCTTCATGTAACAGAAAAGGAAAACTTAGCTGCCTGTATTATGGTATGTCTTCTCGGATCTTTTCTCATGTCTGTGGAGCTGTGGTATGATTTCCATGTACTGTGCTTGAGATGATGATTTGATGGAGGCTCAGAAAAATTAATAACTCTTCAACAGGGAAAATCTTGTTTCCTGCCTTGTTTTAAGTACCGTATGATCTTAAATCTTGTAATACATAAAAGGTTGTAACAGTTCAGAATTCGTTTAAGTAAAGGCCAGTAAATATTTAAGTATGGCGTGGTGCCAGGACACCATTCAAGCAGCAAAGTTGACGAGAAATTTATTCTATAGGCTAAATATCTTTTGTAAAGAATTGTTATATTTGAAAGGCTCTTACTCTAAAAAACACGCACGTTCATTTTCTCACAGAGGCTTTTTTCCTTTTTCCACTTTGTATACACGTGTCGGTGCCAATTGATGCTGTCAAAGATCGTACATGCAAGATAGTTCACTCCTCTCTTTGAGCCAATTAAAAACGTGTCTGCAAAATTCGATGGCGCCCTCTTCGAAAAAACGCTGACTTTGGGAACAGAGTTACTCTACTTATGTGAAAAACAATAAAAGCGAAACTAACAAACTGCTATTCCTATTCTTCCTCTGGAGAAACGAAAGAGAGCTTCAAAACAAAGACTGCACCGCTATCTGAAGCAATGCACTCACTTCCGTGGACACTTTTTGGGCTGAGTGAACTTGCTTGTTATGTACGATCTTTGGTGCCAAGTAAAGTCTTCCTCTCATCAGCCCTCTCCCTTCTATGGAACCTGTCATACCTAGCAAGTTTATTCTCATGGTTATAATAATAATTCTATAGGTGTTGTGCCCTGTGGGTTTTTTAAGATAAAATTTTTGAAATTAAAGCGTCTACATCATGATATTTCCCCACATTCTCTTTTCTTATAGCTGTATGATGGCTTGTCTCATAGTCATACAATGACTTTTCTTCCAGTTGTACACCATTGGCCTATCTTTTTGGCTGTGTGGTGCCCTTTCTTATGAACCTTCATAGGTGTCTATACAGGTTTTAACCGTCAAAATCCAATATGTTTGATTTTTGTAGGATTTGATCAAATTGTTTCCTTGGTAGCTTTTACCCCTCCATGACAGAAAAGCTCAGCAGTTTGCAGTGGGTGTAAGATTTCTGAGTGTCTCTAAAAGTTGTACCAATGTGAACTTGTGGGATGCTGCATATATTTGCTTTTACTTTTTTTTTTGTGCAAAGTGATATGAATCCTGGCCATTCAATTGGTGTTTAAAAATGTTTTCTTTCTAACAGGTCTTATCAGAGAGAGTGAAAATGGTGCTGAACTTTTACTGGATTGCTAATTTTTGATTTGACAGTTTTTATGTTTGACTTGTTGTTGAAAAGTTGACGCTGTTGAACATTGATTTTATCGAGAGATATTTTACTGTAGATTTTTATCATGATCACATAGTAGGCCTATAGGATTTATATAGTTGCATGTGCGAGCTGTTTTATATTTTCAGAAGTGATTTTTGTTGTTGT